CTGGCTAGTGGTCCGTCTATTTTGTTGATCTTTTCAAAAAACCAGGTCTTGGATTTATTACTTTTTTGAAGGGTTTTTCGTGTCTCTATCTCCTTCAGTTCTGCTCTGATCTTAGTTATTTCTTGTCTTCTGCTAGGTTTTGAGTTTTTTTGATCTTGCTCCTTCAGCTCTTTCAATTTTAATGTCAATTTGGATCTCTCCACTCTTCTCATGTGGGTACTTATAGCTATATATTTTCCTCTGGAGACTGCTTTAAATGTTTCTCAGAGATTCTGGCATGTTGTGTCTTCGTTCTCGTTGGTTTTGAAGAACTTCTTGATTTATGCCTTCATTTCATTGTTTATCCAGTCAACATTCAAGAGCCAGTTCAGTTTCCATGAAGCTGTGCGGTTCTGAGTTCGTTTCTGAATTCTGAGTTCTAACTTGATTGCACTATGGTCTGAGAGAGTGTTTTTTATTATTTCAGTTGTTTTGCATTTGCTGAGGAGTGCTTCACTTCCAATTATGTGGTCAATTTTAGAGTAGGTTTGATGTGGTGCTGAGAAGAATGTATATTCTGTGGATTTGGGGTGGAGAGTTCTGTAAATGTCTATCAGGTTTGCTTGTTCCAGGTCTGAGTTCAAGTCATGGATATCCTTATTAATTTTCTGTCTGGTTGATCTGTCTAATATTGACAGTGGTGTGTTAAAGTCTCCCACTATTATTTTGTGGGAGTCTTAAGTCTCTTTGTAAGTCATTAAGAACTTGCCTTATATATCTGGGTGCTCCTGTATTGGGTCCATATATAGGATCATTAGCTCTTCTTGTTGTATCGATCCTTTTACCATTATGTAATGTCCTTCTTTGTCTCTTTTGATCTTTGTTGCTTTAAAGTCTATTTTATCAGAGATGAGAATTGCAACTCCTGCTCTTTTTTTGCTCTCTGTTTGCTTGGTAAATCTTCCTCCATCCCTTTATTTTGAGGCTTTGTGTATCCTTGCATGTGAGATGGGTTTCCTGGATACAGCACACTGATGGGTTTTGGCTTTTTATCCAATTTGCCAGTCTGTATCTTTTGATTGGTGCATTTAGCCCATTTACATTTAGGGTTAATATTGTTATGTGTGAATTTGATACTGCCATTTTGATGCTAGCTGACTGTTTTGCCCATTAGTTGATGCAGATTCTTCATTTTGTTGATGCTCTTTAGCATTTGGTATGTTTTTGGAATGTCTGGTACTGGTTGTTCCTTTCTATGTGCAGTGCCTCTTTCAGGAGCTCTTGTAAAGCAGGCCTGGTGGTGACAAAATCTCTGAGTACTTGCTTGTTTGCAAAGGATTTTATTTTTCCTTCACTTATGAAGCTCAGTGTGGCTGGATATGAAATTCTGGGTTGAAAGTTCTTTTCTTTAAGGATGTTGAATATTGGCCCCCCCTCCCCTTCTGTCTTGTAGGGTTTCTGCCCAGAGATCTGCTGTGAGTCTGATGGGCTTCCCTTTGTGTATGACCCGACCTTTCTCTCTGGCTGCCCTTAGTATTTTCTCCTTCATTTCAACCTTGTTGAATCTGATGATTATGTGCCTTGGGGTTGCTCTTCTTGCGGAATATCTTTGTGGTGTTCTCTGTATTTCCTGGACTTGAATATTGGCCTGCCTTGCTAGGTTGGGGCAATTTTCCTGGATAATATCCTGAAGAGTATTTTCCAGCTTGGATTCGTTCTCTTCGTCACCTTCAGGTACACCTATGAAACGTAGATTAGGTCTCTTCACATAGTCCCACATTTCTTGGAGACTTTGTTCATTCCTTTTTGTGCTTTTTTCTCTAATCTTGGCTTCTCATTTTATTTCATTGAGTTGATCTTCGACTTCTGATATCCTTTCTTCTGCTTGGTCAATTCGGCTGTTGAGACTTGTGCATGCTTCGCAAAGTTCTCATGTTGTGTTTTTCAGCTCCTTCAATTCACTCATATTCCTCTCTAAGTTGTCCATTCTTGTTATCATTTCCTCAAGTCTTTTTTCAAGGTTCTTAGTTTCTTCGCATTGAGTTAGAACGTGTTCTTTTAGCTCACAGAAGTTTCTCATTAACCACCTTCTGAAGTCATTTTATCACACTCATTCTCCATCCAGCTTTGTTCCCTTGCTGGTGAGGAGTTGTGGTCCCTTGTAGGAGGCGTGTTCTGATTTCGGGTGTTTTCCTCCTTTTTGCACTGGTTTCTTCCCATCTTTGTGGATTTATCCACCTGTCATCTGAGTAGTTGCTGATTTTTCAATTGGGTGTCTGAGTGGACGTCCAGATTGTTGATGATGAAGTATTTCTGTTACTTAGTTTTCCTTCTAACAGTCTGGCCCCTCTGCTATAGGACTACTGAGGTCCACTCCAGGCCCTGCTTGCCTGGGGTACACCTGTAGCAGCTGCAGAACCGTGAGGGTTGCTACCAGTTTCTTCTTCTGCTATCTTTGTCCCTGAATGATGCCCACCAAATGTCAGTCTGATCCCAGTCCTTTGTGAGGTGACTCTTTGGATATATGGGGGTCAGGGAGCTGCTTGAGGAGACTGTCTGTACTTTATAGGAGCCCAAGTGCTGAGCTGTGAGCTCCATTGTTCATTCAGGGCTGCTAGGCAGGTATGTTTAAGTCTGCTGCAGCAGAACTTATAAAGCCCCTTTTTTTTCTCAGGTGCTCTGTCCCGGGGAGTTAGGGCTTTATTTATGAGTATCCATTGCACTGTCCTGCCCAGCAAGGAGGCAGTATAATCACTGCTTGCCTGTAGTGGCTATGCTGAGCTGCCATGGGCTCTGCCCTGTTGCTGTGGGCTCCGCCCTGCTGCTGTGTGTCATTCCCTGTAGTCCTGTTTATACGGGTGTGGTTAGAGCTGCTGTGGTGATGATGGCCTGCCTCTGTAGTGGCAGACTCTCTCTGTTATGGTGGGTTGCCTTGGCAGCGGCGGGTTGCCTTGGCAATGGCAGGCTGCATCAGCAATGGCAGTGTACCTCGGTAGGGGTCAAGTGCCTCAGTAATGGTGAACGCCCCTCCCCCTCCGAGCTGCATTGTCCTGGGTTTAGCGGTGCTTGCCATGAAACTCTCAACCCCGAACATTTCCAATTGCTGTTTTGTTTGTTTTTGTGGGGGTGGGACCCGCCGAGCCTGATCACCTGGCTCCCTGCCTCAGAGCCCTTTTTTTTTTTTTTTAAGTTGAAGTTGACTCTCTCCCAGGTGTTCCAGTCACCTGCTGAAAGGGCGCCAGGATCTGTGTGATTTCCCGTGCAGTGACCCACTGTGCCGGCTGGAATCTCGTTGCTGCCCGGGAATCTCCTGGCCTGGTTTTCTGTTTAAGTCCTGTTTAATCAGATGAATGTGCTAATCTGCCTTCTGAAATCTCCAATTGCCGTTTTAACAGGGCAACCAAACCAGTGTACTTTATACGGAGTGCCGCTGTGCTGTGGCCCCAGCCCAAACAGCCACGCCGGCCAAACAGCCGGGCTGGCGGCCTGTGCGGCTCCTACCCCTGGGAATCTCCTGGACTGTGGGCAATAAAGATCCATCTGGAAATGTGGCATCCACTTACCGTCTGCGGATTCACTGAGAGCTGCAATCCTGAGTTGGTCCTACAGTGCCATCTTCCTAACTTGTATTTTAAGTTCAGGGGTACACATGCAGGTTTGTTACATAGGTGAACTTGTGTCATGGGGTTTTGTTGTACAGATTATTTCATCATCCAGGTATTAAGCCTAGTTCCCATTACTTATTTTTCCTGATCCTTTCCCTCCTCCACCCTCTGCTTTCCCATAGGCCACATAGGCCTCAATGTGTGTTGTTCCCCTCTTTGTGTGCATGCGCTCCTATCATTTAGCTCCCACTTATAAGTGAGCACATGTGACATTTGGTTTTCTGTTCCTGAGTTAGTTTGCTAAAGATAAGGATCTTCCAGCTCTATCCACATCCCTATAATTCCTAATAGTTAGAATGGCTTTTCTTTTCTTTTTTTTTTTTTAAAAAAAAGACAAATCTGATAGTGTTTCTTCTCTGTAATAACAATAATAATAAGAATAATAATAGTAGTAGTAATGATAGTAATGAAACCCCAAACCTTTAGCAATTCCCCGTTATCCTCAGGTAAGTCCATGGTCTTTACCAAGGATTGCAGGCATGCACACCTCTCCCTCTGCGGAGTAAAGCCCTATTGGCCATTCCACTCCATGAAATCTCCATTCCTGGCAAACAGGACCGGTTGCTGGACATCATGCTCTTTCTCAGCCAAGGGTTTCTTCTGTACACACTATTTGCTCTCCCTGCAACATCCTAATGGTCCCCTTTTTTCTTGTCCTAAGTCTTATATCTCCTTGAGGTATTCATTTAGACGTTAAAGCTTTGGACAACAACCCCTGCTTCCCTGATGAGACATGTATCCCGTGAGGAGACGCCTATCCCATGATGGGACACCTATCCCGTGTTGGGACACTTATCCTGTGATGAGACACATATCCCGTGATGAGACACCTGTCCCGTGATGGGACACCTGTCCTGTGATGGGACACTTATCCTGTGATGATACACGTATCCCGTGATGAGACACCTGTCCCGTGATAAGACACATATCCCGTGATGAGACACCTGTCCTGTGATGAGACATGTATCCTATGATGAGATACCTGTCCCATGATGAGACACATATCCTGTGATGAGATATCTGTCCTGTGATGAGACATGTACCCTATAATTAGACAACTTATCCTACATGTAGATAGAGCCCCATTACTTCTCCCTGTAGTAGTAACATTTGTTCTATTTTAATTTCCTGTCTATGTCTTTTCTACTACTCCAGGACAGTGTAGCTGTTGGACCAGGGACTGTGTTTCTTCACCATGCCTAGCACCATGCCAAGAACAGACACAGCCACATAATTGTTGAATTAACGAACCAGGGATATGTTGGATTCCTTACTATAATTCCCTGGGGTGGGTATAAGAGTCAGCCCTAGACTAGCATCTAGTAAATAAGAAAGCAAGAGGATGCCTGGCATGGGGAATAGAGGCATTCAGCCTGAACACTACTGCTTGTTTTCAGTGTCCAGTTTAAACCCTGGAGCTGTAGAGAAAGTCCTCAAAGAGGCTATTATCCTATGATAGAGTAACCCTATTAACAAACTCTTTCTGCTTTCTTAGGGTTGGAATCCTAGGCGTGAGGGAGCTGGCACAGATCGCAGTTCATGCCAGTGTTTACGGCTCTTTTGTTCCCATCTCATCATGTTTTAAGAACTTTGCTGACCAGATGCAACGAAAGACCCTGCACTTATAGTTTTGCCTTTGCAACCCATACCTATGGTCCAGTCGATTCCCTCTTCTTCCTCTTCTTGTTTGGGCCATGGCGGCCGCTCCCCTGCTACTTACAGGTCTCACTTCAGCAGCTGAGCCAGCTCAGCCTTATTGTCTTGAGTGATGCCTGGGTCTCAGTTTTAGAAAGTGGGCTTCTTCTGCTCACTTGTTTCTGAACTTAATTTCCCACCTCTTGCCAGGTCCTCCAGGAATGATGCCCTGCTTTGGTTCCGTCTATGCCGAAAATTCCTGCTATACCCACAGTGGTGGTCGTCTCTTCTGATCTTCACAGCCTGTCAGCTCCCAAGCCCCCTGACCTCAGCTCAGCTCTTGTAGGTCCTTGTGACACCATCCTTTTATTCCTGCCTCCTGAGGACTCTCAGGATCTGTGGCTTGTCTCTGTCCTGAGGGTGAAGATGGATGACAGATGCTACCCAGTAATCTTCCCAGATGAGCGGAATTTCCGCCCCTTCACTTCTGACTCTCTGGCCGCAATTGAGAAGCGGATTGCCATCCAAAAGGAGAAAAAGAAGTCTAAGGACCAGACAGGAGAAGTGCCCCAGCCCCGGCCTCAGCTTGACCTGAAGGTCTCCAGGAAGCTGCCCAAGCTCTATGGTAACATTCCCCAAGATCTCATAGGAAAGCCCCTGGAAGACTTGGACCCGTTCTACAGAGATCACAAGGTACGTCGTAAGGAGGTGGGGTGTTGTAACCATGCCGTTGTAACTGCTGTTACCGGTTCTCCAAACACAAACTTGGGCCTTACAGCTGGCAGGCCGTGCCTCTGCACTGCTGTCATCCCCTGCATTGCCTTCATAGTCCTGAAAACCCTTTTCAGCCCTCATTTCTTCTCTGAAATGCATGTGTTAGGGGAGAAGATGAGGGTGGGGGACTGCAAAAGGGTAAATGGAAAACAGAGAAAACACAAATGAAGTCTGGAGAGAGGACTGGACTAGTAGTCCCAGAAGTCAGCTGCAGGCTGTTTCAAGTGATTGGCTTTATGACTCTGGGCAAGTCTCTTTACAAACCTTCCCTTTTAAAATCTGTAAAATAGAAGTGATGCCTGATGTTCCTACCTTAGAGTATGGATATGCTGGGAAAGCACTTTATGGCATCCTACATCCTACATTATGCTGATGTAAAGCATTAGTATCATGGTCCAGAAATGCTCATTATGTAACAAGATTTTACCTTAAAAACTCTTGGATAATAGGCTTTCTAGGCTATTAAATGAGGCCAGTAGGGCTCAGACCAACACTTGATACATAGTAGGAGCTCAATAAATGAAATCTAAGAGAAATGGTACCCAAGTGGGCACATGCAGATTGTATGTAAATTCAATGCAAATATGTGAAAGCCTTGCTATTTTATCTGCCTGGATGCAGTTCTGGCAGGGAAATTCTAATAAAGGCTTCTTGAAGGGGCTCCTGAGTGAGGAAATGTAAGCTTTGAGCTCCCAGAGGATGCTCTAGAGCCTGAGGCTGTGAGCACAGTTGTCTGCATACTGTCTGCTTTCAGGAATGGCTCAGAAGATCTTGCCATCATCATCCCGCTGTGTGATCCAGTAGAGATTGGAAATCCCACCTTGCCACACTGCGGTCAGAGCGGGAGGAGGCTGGGAGCTTAGGGAAAGCCCTAGAAAATATGGGGTGCTGAGAACATCTGCCTGGCATCCATAAGAAACTGACCTTTCAACACAAGTTTGCCTGATTTGCATGTCCTTCAGTTGGGACAGACTTAGGGTTGCCAGGCAAATGAGGACCACGTGTACAGAGGGAAGTAGGGTGTAAGTAGGAAGGACAAGCAAGGGGGAAAGAAGTGAAGAAGCAAAAACATTCCAATATTTCTCCTTTTTCTGATGCCCCAGGATTCCAGGACCTTCTTGGAGGTACAGTTGTTGGAGGTGACTCGACTGTAGAGGATTCCTTCTGCCTCAGTGCTGGATAGGAGACCCATGAGTCAGGCAGCAGCTTGGTGTGCAGCTGTCAATTGTCAGAGAACAGAAATATTCCAGCCGGGGTGGTAATTCTAGGACCACCGCTTCTTAGTCTGGGTCTTCCATTTAAATCAGAAGACACATTTATTTAGAGCTCTGCACACCCCTGATCTCACATGACCAGTGCCCTCAGCTGTCATGTGAGGTATGTGTGATCATCATTAGCACTCTATCTTACAGATGAGGAACCCAGAGCCTAGCTGGAAAAGGGGCTTTAGCCAGGTCAGGCAGCCAGTGAGTGACAGAGCTAGGATGCAAACCCGAGGACGCTTTTTATCGTCACAGGCTGCTTCTCTTTAGAAGCCCCATTTTGAAGAGCAACAGGGAAAAGAAGTAAAGAAGTGTCGGCAGGCAGGAGGAGCTAGTACCCATCATTTTAATCATTAAAACCCTGGCAAGTAGGGGTAAATGCATCATTAGTTAAAATATTTAAAGCAGTAAGAAGAGGCATCAATAAAATATCAAAATCAAAGGGCACAGAAGGAGAGCCATATTGTACCACTTATTCATCTGGGGCGACTCACCTCAAAGAGAGGTTTGTTTCTGCCCTAAAATTGTCTGTCTATTCAAAGCAAAGGCACAGAATTTCCAAAGCAGGTCTTGGGCTCTTGCTCATATTTTTAAAAGAAAAACTCTAAGGCTCATTTCATTATTATGGGGGCAAAGAAAAATATCCTAGCACATATTTTCCCTGCAGCCAGATGACCATCAGACCAGTAAATCCCAGCAACTCATTAAAGGAAGGTTGATGGCTGGCAGTGGCTGAGGTTCTGGCACCTGCACCAAGGCAGCACTCACAGTACTGACTTTTGGCCTGGGTGCGGAGGTTTGTCTCTCCCGCCTGAGAACATGTGGTATTACGTGGCCAAGTAGTACTTTTTGCAAATCTGAAGGAGCTATGAGTTGAGGAGAAAGGAATGACTGTTAATTTATGAAGGCTTTTATAACTGACAGCCATAGGGACAGATAGGCGGACAGCTAGATTACAGCTGAATGGAAAGAGGGAGGTTTGGGGGTGGATGTTAGAAGCCTGTTAGTGCCAGGTTGTTGTCCAGGGTCAGTTTCACTCCCAATGCCCGGGGAGTCACGTGCGAAGAAAATGGGCAGAGGGTCAGTGTTCTTCAGTGGGACTCCATTGGGCACCTTGGGAGGCATAATGCACATTGGCAAGTGTGTCCTGTTCAGCATCCCCAGACCTTCCCAATAAAGGCCAGTAGAACCCATAATCATTACAACAGACAACCCCAAACACCCACACACATTTCCAAATGCCTTCTGTGGGGCAATGCGCACCATCCCTGCTGGTTAAGAACCACAGGCAGATTTGCCCCTATGTCCACAGAGGTAAAGAAAGAGCAAGTCCAGAAAATTTGGTGACTTTTTTTCTTGAAGATCATCAAGGTTAGAATTTACTGGTATTTCGCTCAGCACTTCTTAGACCCATGGCATAGCAAACATGGATCCTCTAGGTCACTTACTGTCATAAGATTCATTACAAAGTTTTCATTAGTAATCAAACTAATTTAAAGTAATCTGCTGAATCTAAATGTCCAAGGTCAATTTCTGTCTCTTAAGTTCTCTTCTAGTCCCTTTCCCCATTGATACGTACCATGGAGTATAATACTAAGGGTTTTGTTTTCCCCAGCTGTTCCTCTATGCTCCTAATATTGGTATTTTCAGGTCCCATGTTTTCCATCTCTGGTTCCTCTGGATTATCCCATTGGGTACATATTCCACAGCCCCACAGTTATGTTATAATTTTGTCTAAATGAATTAATGATAAATATTGTTTTGTCACTGCATTTAATTCCTGTTGTATATGTGTGTGTTTTCTTGTTTTGTTTTGTTCTGCAGACATTTATGGTGTTAAACAAAAAGAGAACAATCTACCGCTTCAGTGCCAAGCGTGCCTTGTTCATTTTTGGACCTTTCAATTCAATCAGAAGTTTAGCCATTAGAGTCTCAGTCCATTCATATCCTTTCGTTGCACCTTTTACTGAATCCAGATCATTTGAAAAGTGCATGTGCCCCAGATAGTTCATGTTATTGAATGAAAGCAAATAGTGAATTATTTCCACAGATACTGGCTGAGTGCCTACTGCTGTAGGCAGGAACTGTGCTGGATGTGAACAAGATGTCATCTCCTTCTCTGGGATCCTTTATCTCCCGAAAAAGATACGGGTTGATAGATATAGTTAAATATTGAGGAGAATGGCAATGAATAAGTATTTGGGTTTGGTTCTCTAGAAGCAGAGCCTGATATAGGGATTCTTGTTTAAGTGATTTAACAGAGGAATGCTTTCTGGAGAAGGAGAAAGGGAAGCAGAAGGGAAGAAAATGAAGCCAAGCAAGGATATAGTCTCAGTGGAGTTGGCTTCCTACTGATCCCATGAGGAACTCTGGAGCACAAATTGCACCACAGAATTGTCCCACTTTGAAGCGAGGGCTTAAGGCAGTCAGACGTGTGGAAGAGGGTGTGTAGCTCTCCAAGTGAGGAGGCTGCTATTCAGCAGGGTACAATTCCCCACAGGAAGGGACAGTCGTGAGTTGTTCTCAGCCAACACTCACAGTCAGAAGATAAATGCACCTGCAAAAACGGGGACCAGTAGGGGCACTCCCAGTCTTACCCAATAGCAAATGACTCGCGCCATCCTGCAATGTATCTGCCTTAATGGATGCTGGCCACGTTGTTCAGCATGTTCATTATCAGCACCGTTATCATCAACTGTGTGTTCATGGCCAGCGGGCTTGGTAAAACCAGCAACAGCAACGATACTGACATTGCCGAGTAAGTATTTTTCTTTCACTCACCTGTCCTAAGTTTTTAAACAAATATACCTAGGACAGTTAATGATTACGCTGGAGAGAAAGAAAAAGTCACTAATAATTCTAACACCAATAGTGGCAGGGTCAGTTTTATTTTTGTCCTTTTTTTGTTTACAATTTGTAATAAACAGCATACATACAATTTTATGTTCACCTTTTAAGTGGTTTTCTTTGTGTTTACATAAGTTTTATAGGAATCTATTTGGATGGCTATATACTATTTTATCAGGTGAATAAACCATAAGGAACTTAATCACTCTAGCATTTTAGTGGATTCTAACATTGTCATAAACATCTTTTTGCATAAAGATATATTTATGTATTTACTTATTCTTTTTATTTGTTTGTAAAAAATTTTTTATGCCAATTCACTTTATGCTAAGAATAAAGCTATTCTTTAAAAAAATTATTTTTATTTTTAAACATTTTTTGAGAACAGGGTTTCGCTGTTGTTGCCTACGCTGGAGTGCAATGGTGCTGTCTCAGCTCACTGCAACCTCCACCTCCCGGGTTCAAGCAATTCTCCTGCCTCAGCCTCCTGAGGTGTGTAATTGCTGGGTCCTGTGATAAGTATATATGTAACTTTTAAAGAAACTGCTAAACGCTTTCAAATTGATGGCATCATTTCACATTCCTACTAGCAATATATGAAAATTTCAAAGTCTGTATTAACCTTTTCTTTCAATATGCTTTGATTTTAATTTGCTCTTCTATTTCTAGCTTCTTAAGTTGGAAGCTTAAATAGTTGGTTTTAGGCACGGGTGGCTCCATGGTACTTCCTGGCATGCCAGGCCTGCCTGGGTCGTTAAAAAAATCGTTGGTTTTATATTTTTCTTCTTATACAGTTGTGTAAAGCTACACATTTCTGTCCAAGATGTCAATACTTTGGGTTTTATTACCTTTCAGTTTAAAATATTCCCTACAATTGCCCTACATTTTCACATGATTTCTTCTTTGTCCCATGTATTATTTAGAAGTGTTTGGTTTTTTAAATATTTCCAAATATTTTATGCTTTTCTAGTTGTTTTCTGGCTGTCTGATTATTATTTAATTTCAGATCAGTTATATTTAACGAATATACCCTGTAAAATTTCAATCTTTTGAAATAAACAGAAACATGTTTTATAGTCTGTCTTGGGAAATGTTTCACATGCACTTGGAAAGAACATGGATTCTGCCATTGTTTGGTGTGATCCTCCTTAAAAGTTCAGTTAAGTTAAGATGTTTGATAGTATCACTTAGATCTTTTATACCTTTATGGATTTTTACCTAGCACTTTTATGAATTACTGAAAGAGAGGCTTGAAATCTCTATGCTTGTGGATTTGTCTATTCTTTCTCTCTTTTTGTCAAACTTGGCTTGGTGTGTTTTGAAGCACTATTAACAGGTACATACACACTTAACGATGATTATTATCCTCCGAATATATTCGTTCTTTTATTATTATGGAATGTCTTCGTTGCCTCTAATAATGCTCATTTTGATATTTGTTTTGTCTAATTTTAATATAGCTACTCCAGCTTTCTTTTTTCTTTCTTTTTGTTTTTTTGAGACGGAGTTTCACTCTTGTTACCCAGGCTGGAGTGCAATGGCGTGATCTCGGCTCATCGCAACCTCCGCCTCCTGGGTTCAGGCAATTCTCCTGCCTCAGCCTCCTGAAGAGCTGGGATTACAGGCACGTGCCACCATGCCCAGCTAATTTTTTGTATCTTTAGTAGAGACGGGGTTTCACCATGTTGACCAGGATGGTCTCGATCTCTTGACCTCATGATCCACCTGCCTTGGCCTCCCAACGTGCTGGGATTACAGGCTTGAGCCACCGCACCCGGCCTACTCCAGCTTTCTTACACTCTTCATTTGCACAGTGTATCTTTTTCCATCCTTTTACTCCCAGCCCTTTGGTGTCTTTGTATTTGTAGCATATCGCTTGTAAACAACATATAGTCGGTTTTTGCTTTTTTTGCAGTCTATCAATTCAGCCTCTGCCTTTTGATGGACTAAAGTTCATTTACATTTAGTGTAGTTCTGTCATTGGATTTTGGTCTGCTGTTTTTCTATTTATCTCATCGGTTTTTTGTTGTTGTTCCTTTGCCACTCATTATTTCTCCATTACTGCTTCATTTTATGTTAATTGGGTGTATTTAATATTTCGTTTTAATCCTCTACTGGCCTTTTAGCTTTACTTCTTTGCATTTTTTAGTGGTTTCTTCAGAGCTGAAACTATGCATTGTTCAACTGGCAAAACATACTTAGAGCTAATGTTAAAATGCTTCGGGTAAAACAGAAACCATGCCACAGTTTACTGTGTTTGTTTTTTGTCATATATTTATATTAATGTACACAATAAACCCAATAATACCGTTTATCATTTTTGCTTTAAAAGGGCACATGCCTTGTAAAGACTTGTTTTTCTGTAGAACCAGGTTTTCCTTTGGTATTATTTCTCTTCAGCCTGAACAACTTTCTTTAATATTTCTTGTGGTTCAGTTCTGTCAGCAGCACATTCTCAGTTTGTACTGATCTGAAAATGTCTTGATTTCATACTCATTTTTGAGGTAGAGTTTCACTGTATATAGAATTAGTGCTTGGGAATTTATTCTTCTAGCACTTTAAGTATGTCATTTTTCATGTTTTCTGCCCTCCTGTTGCTTAGCTCTCCGTTGCTTGCTTTCAGGATTTTCTCCCTAAATTTCCAGCTGCTCTGCCAGCACTGAACGCCACCCTCTGCCGCCTTAAATCTTCAGAACTATAGACATTTGCCAGTGTTGGGGTGGGAGTGGGGAAGTTGGAAAACACTTTCGGACCCAAACAGTTAAACAGTTTTGTAATTCTTAGCATCACAGTTATCTTCTTTTAAGAGGAACATCTGCCCCAGTTTCTGCCTCCTTTTGTTCACCTTCTGGGGCCTTCAGATAATTGTCCTTATATATGTTTTCCAGTTTAACACTCATTATCTGTGGGAGGATTTGCCCAACCACTTCAGGTCTTCATCACAATTGAAGCAGGCATCCACTGTCTTTTAATTTTGCTTATGATTTTTTTCTTTTCTCTGTGCCCATGGATTTTGATTTATAGTTAGAAACACTTTCTCTAGCCTTAAGTTATAAAAGGAGTCCCTCATATCTTCTTACAGTACTTTAATAGTTTCCTTTTTAAAAATTTAAATCCTTGAATAATTTGGAATTCATTCAAGGGTAGGGTGTCATAAATAGATCTGACTTTGTATTTCCATCCCAGATGTCTATCCATTTGTCCCAACACCATTTGTTAAATAGTCCATTTCTTATCCTTTGATGTGAAATGTTACTTAGGTATTTGGATCTATTTCTGGACTTTCTTTTCTCTTTCATTGGTCTGCATTTTTGTATGCCAGAACCACACTTTTTAATTATAAAAATTTTCTAATATTGTAATGTCTAGGAGTGCTAGCGATTCCTTTTGAGAATTTTTATGGCTCTTGTTGGTTTACTTTTTATGTAAATTTTATGATCAGTTTGGTTAGTTTTATTGACACGATGAAAGGATTTATAAATTAACCTGGAAGAAACTGACATCCGTATGAGGTTGGAACTCATGGAGAACATGACATATTTTTCATTTGTTGAAATCTTCTTTTGTGTTCCTCTAATTGCTTTAAAGTTTTCTTCGTATAGATCTTCCGCAATTCTTGTTAAATTTGTTAGTGAATTTTATTGGTTTCTGTTGCCATTATAAATGTGGTCTTTTATTTCATTATACCTTGTAACTTCAGCATTTGTTTAGTCTCTTGATGATTTGTATGGCTTCCCATCTTTTCCATGTTTCGAAATGTTTTTAATAGCATGGAAATGAGTCATACTGAGAGAAAGAAAGAAAGATGTATCCAGTAAAGTGATTTATATCTGCAAATCTTTTGGGGAAGGATATAAGGAATTAGTGAAATGGGAAGGGATTCATTTATTAATAGCGTTTTCATTTTTTTATTGCTAATCTTTAGTTTTAAAATTTCTCTGAATATATTGTTATATTCTTCTCATTTATCATTTTGTTAATATGTTTTCTCATTTCTGTGATTAGATTTGCCAGAGGCTTGCCACTTTCTGTTTTCTAAACTATGTCTTAAATTCTATTTTAAAAACTATTCTATAGTTTTTTCTAAAACTGTCTTAAATTCTGTTTGTCTTAAATTATATGTTTTTCTAAAACTATGTTTTAAATTCTTTTTATGTCTTAAATTCTATTTTTATTTTATTTTTTATTTTTTGAGACAGAATCTTGCTTGCTTGCCCAGGCTGGAGTGCACTGGAGCAATCTCCACTCACTGCAACCTCCACCTCCTGGATTCAGGCGATTCTTGTGTCTCAGCCTCCCAAGTAGCTGAGATTACAGGTGTGCACTGCCACACCTGGCTAATTTTTATACTTTTAGTAAAGATGGGGTTTTGCCGTGTTGCCCAGGTCTTGAACTCCTGGACTCAAGTGTTCCGTCTGCCTCAGCCTCCCAAAGTGCTGAGATTACAGGTGTGAGCCACAACACCTGGCCTTAAATTCTATTTAAAAATATAATATTTTTCCTTCTACCTTCTTTAATTTTGTTCATTATACATTCAATAGGGCATAATGTTTTCTAAAATATGAATTTGAATGTTTAATTCATGCATTTTCCTTCTTGCTGTAAATAATACAAATATTTATATGAATGATACTTAGGGATACAGCTTTGTCTCTGCCTTGTAGGTTTTAATATGTGACATTTCAAATTTTAATATTTTCTATATGTCTTTTATATGATTTCCCTTCCTCCTTGGTTTAATTCCTTGCAGATTCTTCTTTAAGAATGCTTACAGTAATATTTGTGGTATCTGACTTGGCAAGTTGCCAGTATTGTACTACCTCTCCCACATTAGTTACCCTTGTAGCTGTATCTTTTCTTTCAGATCCTCTCGTAATTCAAAGAGACCCACTCAGGTTCAGGCAAATACAA